GCTACACAACGTATTATCCCCAGTAAAGAATCTTCAGTCAGACTTCCCTATTGTGGGTCCCTTGGTCATGGATTCATTATGCCTGCAGATAAAAACTGTTCTAAAATGTTTCTGAATATGTGCACACTTTTTTTTCTTGTCATTATTTCTGGGAGAATAGAGTATAACATTGACATTGTATTAGGTTTAAATTATCTAGAGATGGTTTAAAGTATACAGGAGGAAGTTGATAGGCTGTATACAAATATGTTACTTGATATAAGGGATGTGAGGATGCTCTAATCTGGGTTTTCACAGAGAGGTTTTGGACACCAAAAGGTACCTGTATGATATTCTGGAAAAGATAAAACTGTAAAGGCAGAAGGGAGAAAAAAAAAGGCTAAAGTTAGTCAGATATAGCAGGAGGGAGCACAAGATATTTTTAGAGCAGTAAAAAGGTGAGTTAATGATGCCTAGAAGTCAGGAAGGAGAGGGAAAGAATACCAAAATACACTTAGACAAAAAAGAGTAAATCCTGATGTTCTGCAGTACAGTAGGGGAATATAGTTTACAGAAATTTGTCACATTTTATAAAAAACTAAAACGGAGACATTCTAAAGTTCCTAACACAAAAGAATGAGAAATACCTAAGGAGATGAAAATGTTAATTTATGTATAATATACAGCACATAAATACATCTAAATATTTGCACTGTATATCACAAATATGTACAATTTTGTGTCACTTAATTTTTTAAAAAATAGAAAATAAACATAAAGAGTGAATCCAAAAGTAAACCGTGGATTTTAGTTAATAATAATATTCCATCAACACTGGTCCATCAAGAGCAACAAAGGTACTAATGCAAAATTTTAATAACAAGGGAAACTGTGGCATAGAGGGGTATGAGAAGCCACTGGGCCTTTTCCTCAGTTTTTCTGTGAACCCTACTACTGCTCCAAAAATAGTCTGTTAATTAAAAAGAGAAAATACAAACAAAACCCCTCAATGACACACCATTTCTTCTCCACCAAAATTCTAAAAAAATGAATTTTGACAAAGAGGTGGAAAAATTGGAATTCTCATATTTGCTAATTGGAGTGTAAAATTGTACAATCAGTATTTCACATTCACTAACATGACCAAATATAAAGGATTAATAATATCAAAATATTTTCAAAAGTTTAAGCATGTGGAATTTTTCTATATCCTGAGTATAAAATGGCAATTACAGAGAGTCACCACAGTTTCTTACAAACCAACATTCACCCTATGTCTCGGCTACTCAACCCTAGTCATTAGCTAAGATAAATGAAAACATATAAAAACATATTCACAAAGAATAGCAAGAGAATTTTTCAACAGTCATGTTTTTATAACATCACCAAATTGCATATTTCTCAAATGTCAAAAGGAAATAGATAAATTGTGGAATTACAAATAGAATCAAAAGATCAGGATTTTAATACATAAAAAATGTTTACATTTCAAAATAAATATGTTAAGCAAAGGCATCTAGACGGAGAGAAACTGGATGTAGCATACTGATTCTATTTTATGAAATTAAAGAACAGGTGAAAAAAGTCAATAGTGGAAAATTAAAATGTGTTTGCTTTTGAAGGTAGAAAAATTGAGAGAAAAGGCAAACAAGAACTTTCTTTCATAACAAAAATCTCATTTATCTCATTTTGAGAGTTGGTTACTTGGTGGTCAATCTCATTAAAATGAACACTTTAAATCTGTGCATTTTACCCTATGTCATTACATCTACTTTTTAAAAAATATTGGCTACACTGGTATAATGGTTAATAATGCTTCCTTTGACAACAAACAGACTAGGTTTTAAATAAAGATTCTACTATCTATTGCCAAATTTTAAATGAATTAATTAACCTTCTGAGCTTCAGTTCTTGACATGTAAAATGAGGGCAAACACTTAAGGATATTTAAAAGAATTAATGAAAAGCGTATGTAGGATTCTGAAGATGGTATTTTATCAAATAATTAGTATTCAATAAATACTGCTTTTATTATTTCAACAAAGTCCTAGTAAAATGCCTCTTTCAAATACCTTTTATGCCTGTTATCTCTCGTGCTTTGTTTATTCTCCAGTGCAGTCTGTCTATGTGCAGAACGTGAGAGCCTCGCACAGCTTTGGATTTTTTTTTTTTCCATTGGTACAATTAGGGCAGCAACCCTGCAACTTTCGTGTTCCAAGCATCCTTCAGACCAACTCTGACCACTACGGCTTTCCAACAATGCCTCAGTGTCATCTTATTGTAGTAAAAATATCACATTAGTATCTCGATGTGATGAACAATAAGATCTTACATCCAATTTTTCTCTGTAGATTTATACCTACTGCAGTTCTGGGCAACTACTGAATGTTGAACAAAAGGCATTTCATAAATGAGTGATTTTTGAATTATAAAAACTATAGCTGCTTAGTTTATTCACTCGCAAGCATTTGCAGCAAGTCGAACAGCTCTGTAGGAATGACGGGGAGGCAGGTCGGTGCTAATACACTTTCCCTCAGCAGCTGCGGATTGCTCAGTGTGAACCCAGATGCAACAGTGGACAAAACTGGGCTCCAGTTGGCTGTTTTCCTCCTCCTGTGACTCGATCCTAAGTATTCCCTCACTCAGTGCTTTCCAGTTATTTTTCTTCCTCGTATTTATTGATATAAGTCCCAGAAAGTCTTTTCTAATCAGGAGACAAACAGATGCCAGCAATCCACAAATGTTTTGTGTTTATCCCCCCACACCTTTTTTTCATACTAACCTTGAAATTTCAAGCTGTTGCATAGAGAAGCAAGGAGAGGAAGTTCTGGCAAAACTTGCCTCAAAGGTTTTGAGGAGGACTTGCGTGCCCACAGGGGTGATGTGTGTTTCAGGAAGCTGGAAGATTTTACCAGGAGAAGGGGAATTTAGGGAAAGTTATTTAGAAAGTGTGGTCTAAATGTACCTCCACACTCAGGACATAATAGGTTTTGCTATTTCTAAGGTGGCCAGTTGCCCTAAAGGGGTTGTATGTTCCTTGGTCCTGCAGGACATCTGAGGTTGAAGGTAAATAATTTATACATACCAAAATTGAGCCATCTCTCAAGAGACGGGAGTCTGAGAGGATTACTTGCCTAAAGTGAGGAAATATATTTTCCAGCAAGGAGAAACTCAATATAACCACACTTACTGGCTCCTCCCGAATGACTGAGTACTTAATCCCTGATTTTTCTCTTCTAATTCAGAAATATGACCACAGAGTGGCAAAGGTGCTGATTATGAATTGTTCACCTTTCATTTCTAATTACACCTACGCAGTTTCCTTTGTCTCCCTGAATAATTCTTAATCCTTTCTTTATGGCTTATGTGTCGCCTGTTGACACAGTATGGGGGTCTTTTTATGGAAGGGATTTGGTGGGACTTGACGTCATGCAGTGGTACTATTCACGAAGGTTCAGCACCAGAGCGGATAACCGGGTCCTACTGGTAGCCATTTATGCAGTGGGATGACCCACAACGTGGCTGACTGAATGTCAAACCTGTCACAGTTATGATTAGTGGGACAGCTTAATCTCTGATTCTTGTATTCATTTGTATTAGAGCAGGGAAAAATATGCTTTAGTGAGAGTTGAAATGTCACAGTTTGAAAAAACCCGATTTCCCTAAAACTATTCTCAGCCTGAAAGTACTATTTGGCAGAGGCTTTCATAGGGGACCAGGAAGGTTGAGTTTAGAGTTGGCGCCTCCAAGGGGATCCTGCCTGGACCTGGGCTGGGAGCCAAGGAGGGGCTGGAGACCACGGGGTGTGGTGATAAGGCGTCTGGAGAAGCAGCTCCCTGAGTTCTGAGCCCCTTGCCCCTCAGTGGGCAGCCTTCTCGGGGCGAGAACAAGAGCAGCCTACCCTGCCTTGCTTTTGGAGGGGCTCCTGGAGTAACCGCAGCCCTGCAATGGCATAGAACCTCTGCGGCCTGGGCTGGAAGTTCTCGCGATTTAAGGCATAGCCTCGCTGGGAGTGTGTACAAGCCTTCGTCGGGACCCATAAATTACCCAATTTGAGGACGGGGCTAAGGGTTCCTTAGGAGCAGAGGGACGCAGCCTTCGACATCCTGCTCTGCCCCCTTGTGGCCTCTTCTTCCTCCCTCTGAACTCTCGCCCCAGGCTGCGTCCACGTGAAACACCCTGGATATTTATCGCTCTGTATTATTTCCAGAAAGCCGCGCAGCACAACTGAGGCCGCTAACTCCCTTCGGGCAGAAAATAGTATCCTGTTACCCGACAATTTTAACGTCTTCTGCTTTACCCGTTAATGTATCTTATGCCTCTGATGCTTTAACACGTGAGAATTCCCAGACACGTTCTCTTGTTCTTCGTGTGGTTTTCACGCACATGTGCGAAAAGGCAGAGAGCAGTACTTCTGTGCCTCTTCATCCCATTGCACCGAACGCTTTTGGACTTCATTCTGAAAGCGTCTTTCGGGCTCCCCTCCTTCAGCTCGGCCCGCGTTGCGGACGCCTCTCGCCCGGTCCTTCCCTCCCCTCTCTCCGCCGCGCGCTGGGTCGCCCGTCCCGGACCCCCGGTCTCGCCGGGC